GTGGTCGGGACAAGGCGTCGGCATTAATATTCTTAACACCTTCTTTATAACCGACTTCAAAGCGGAAGTTTTGCATAGCCAGCAACCACGTTTCAACTCGTGGGGACTTCGACTTAGCCAACTGTTGTAAGGGCCGATGATCAGAGAATACCGTGACCTTGAACGGAGTATCCAGTAAGTAGTGACGAAATTTCTCCAGCGAACGGACCAGTGCATAACCTTCTTTCTCATACGTGTGCCACCGAAGCTGAGCACCCGTAAGAACTTGAGAAAAGAACGCTAGCGGACGATGTTCTTGTTCCAAGACAGAACCAATAGCAAAGTCACTTGCATCACAACATAACTGGAAAGGGGCGTCAAAGTCAGGGTAGGCGAGAGCGGGCAAACCGGCCAAGGCCGAACGAAGGGCCTCAAAGGAACGCTGTTGGTCTTCTTTCCAATGTAGGCGAATAGTGTCGGGTTGGTCGGCACACAAGCTGACCAAATCCTGCACTGGCTTGGCCATAGCCGTGAAACGTGGAATGAAAGAACGGTAATAGCCAACCAGTCCCATAAACCGCCTCACATCACGAACTGTCTCAGGTAGTGGCCATTCCATTATACAACGGACACGGTCAGGATCGGGACGCATACCAAACTTGTCATAAATATGGCCCAAGTAGGATATCTCCTCCATGGCAAAGTCACATTTAGTAGCACCCAAAGTTACCTTAGCAGCGGACAACCTCTCGAAGACCACACGAAGGTGCCGAACATGAGTCTCCATGTCCGGAGAGAAAATCAAAATATCATCAAGATAGATCTTGACGAATGGTAGGTCGCCCAGGATGTCCTCCATGAGTTTCTGGAAAGTAGCAGGAGCATCATGTAGACCAAACGGCATACGCAAAAACTCATAGAGGGGAAAACCATTCCCCGGACAGAAAGCGGTCTTCGGGATATCAGCGGCAGAGACGGGTACTTGCCAGTAACCAGACTTCAGGTCCAGAGATGTAAAGAAACGGGCACCCTTCAAGTCATCCTGCACAAAGTCAGGTCGAGGAAGGGGGTAAGCGGACATGTGGGACCGACGATTTAGTTCACGATAGTCCACGCAGATACGGACACCACCAGTCTTCTTCTTAACGTAGACACAAGGTGAACGCCACGGACTCATACTTGGCCGAATAATCCCTTCTCTCAGCATATCATCAATCTGGCCTCGTATGTCAGCTTGCCACTTATGAGGTACACGTCTCGGACGCTGAGCCATCGGCTGCTCATCGAAGGTCTTTATATCATGAGTGACCAACGGACAAAACCCGATCTTGTTGT